TATACGGAGAGCAATTAGGGTCACATAACAATGTATGTATAAATTTTTGTATGAGAGACTAACTTGAAATGTAAACTTTCACTCAAACTACAACAATAAACCAACCAATGAAACAAACAAAAATACCCCACTGAAAATAACGATTATGTAAACCATGGATTTAAGCCCTGGTGGCTCAGTGGTTAAGAGCTCAGCTGCTAACCAAAAAGCCTGGCAGTTCAAATTCACCAGTTGCTCCTTGGAAACCCTATGGGGCAGTTCTACTCTGTCCTATAGGGTTGCTATGAGTAGGAATCAACTCAATGGCAACAGTTCGGTTGTTTTTTTTTTTAAATAGTTTTATTGAACTAAATAGCAGAATGCTAGATCTTAAGTGTACAATTCTCTGACTTTTGATAAATGTATACACTGGTATAAGATCTATATTTCTATCACCCCAGAAAGTTCTCTTGTGCCCCTTTCTGTGCAAAACTCTTCTGATGTCTGTCACCATATATTAATTTTACCTGTTTTGGACTTCCTATACATGTAATCATATAGCATGTACTCTTTTGTGAATGGCTTCTTTCCCTCAACACAATGGTTTTGAAGCTCATCTAAGTTGTATGTATCAATAGTTATTCTGATTTATTTTATATACATGTAATCGTATAGTATGTACTCTTTTGTGAATGGCTTCTTTCCCTCAACGGAATGGTTTTGAGGCTCATCTATGTTGTATATGTCAATAGTTATTCTGAAGTGGTTGTGTGTTGTCAATCTTTTAATTTTTGCCATTCTGAACCAAAAAAAAAAAGATCAAACTTGTTTCTGTTGAGTTGATTCCAACTCATAGCAACCCTACAGGACAGAGAACTGCCCCATAGGGTTTCCATAGGTGTAATCAATCCTGTGCATCAGGGTTGTAGCCTTTCACCATACTTATTCAATCTGTATGCTGAACAAATAATTCAAGAAGATGGACTATATGAAGAATAGGGCATCAGGATTGGAGGAAGACTCATTAACAACCTGCATTATGCAGATGACAACCTTCCATGCTGAAAGTAAAGAGGACTTGAAGCACTTACTGATGAAGATCAAAGACCACAGTCTTCAGTATGGATTACACCTCAACATAAAGAAAACAAAAATCCTCCCAAGTGGACCAATAAGCAACCTCATGATAAATGGAAAAAAAGATTGATGTTGTCAAGGATTTCATTTTACTTGGATCCACAATCAACACCCATGGAAGCAGCAGTCAAAAACTCAAACGTCGCATTGCATTGGGGAAATCTGCTGCAAAAGACCTCCTTAAAGTGTTAAAAACCGAAGATGTCACTTTGAGGACCAAGGTGTGACTGACCCAAGCCATGGTATTTTCAATCGCCTCATATGCATGCGAAAGCTGGACAACAAATAAGGAAGATCAAAGAAGAACTGATGCCTTTGAATTATGGTGTTGGCGAAGAATATTGAATATAGCATGGACTGCCAAAAGAACAAACAAGTCTGTCTTGGAAAAAGTATAGCCAGAGTGTTCTTGGAAGTGAGGATGGCAAGACTTCATCTTATGTACTTTGGACATGTTATCAGGAGGGACTAGTCCCTGGAGAAGGATATCATACTTGGTAAAGTAGAGGGTCAGTGAACAAAAGGAAGATTCTCAATGAGACGGATTGACACAGTGGCTGTAACAATGGGCTCAAGCATAATGATTGTGAAAATGGCACCAGACTGGGCAGTGTTTTTGTTGTACACAGCATCACTAAGAGTTAGAATCAACTCGACAGCACCTAACAACAAACACAACAACAATCTTTACTGAAGCAGACTGCCACATCTTTCTCCCCCAGAGCAGGTGGTGGTTTCAAACCACCAACCTTTTTGTTAGCAGCCGAGCACTTAACCACTGTGCCACCAGGGCTGCTTTTAGCCAATCTAGTAGGTATAAAATAATATCTTGTTGTAGTTTTAATTTACTTTTCTCTGATAACTAATGATGTTGAGCAACTTTTATGGATTTACCGGCTATTCATGTATTTTCTTTTGTGAAGTGTCTGTTCCGTTCTTTGACCATTTCTAGAAGGTGGTTGTTTATACTTTTACGATTGATTTGCAGGCATTCTTTGTACATTCTGGAAATAAGTCCTTTGTCAGATATGTGAATTGACAACATTTTCTCCATCTGTGTTGTGCCTTTTCATTTCCTTCACAAGCAGACGTTTGGAAGAATAAAATAACTCTTACAAAAAGTCAATTGTTTACTTGAGATCAAAATATCCCAGTGAGAAAAAGGATTTTTTATACCATAGGATAAGCCCATAATTCCATATTTTGGTTGTTAGGATTATACCTACTACTCACTTATCAACTATCTCATTATAACGACATTTCAAATTCCCAACAACTTGAGAAAAAAATCTCAGGCGGTGTCTCCTATGGTCTGGGCCCCACACTGGCCTGCAGCAGGGCCTGGGCGCCTTCCACAGGTCACCCCAAAGGCCAGGCAACAGGAGGGATGGCAGCCAACCAGCCAGGGAATGCCTTCTCCCATTTCTTCGCAGTCTTGGTTCCCCCACAGAGGGTGTGCAACAGCTGACTATGCGAGATGCAAGTGGGCAGGGGGAGGCTGGGAGGGCCCAAAGGTGCCGGGGAGGTCAGTAGGGGGAGGAGGAAGGGCTGAGAAGGCAGGGAATCACAGGGGGCTGGAAAGCCAGGGCTGACGGAGGACTAGCAGGGTCCCCGCTCAGGGCAGGCAGTAGGAAGGAGAGGGTGGTGGGCAGCACGCAACACCACACCACCACCACCACCCCCCCAACCCCTGCGGGCTCTGAAGAGGTGGAAAGCGTGGTGGAGAAAAGGAGCCTGCCGTGCCACACACATCCCTAGATGCACCCAGGTGCCGATGGGCAGTGGGGGCGGCGGGGCACCAGCACTGAAGACAGGGCCTAGCCCCTGACTCTTGCATAACCGCTGATTTTGCGTAAGGACCTGGTCTTTGAAACCTAACCATGTTGATACGTGGAGTGAGTGTATTTTATATTCAGATATACATATATATATAAATATTTCTGTTATATACATATGTATACATATTTATAAATAAATGTATAAAATAACATATATACATATATAATCATATATATCTGCTGATGCTTTGATAAACGGAAGTTTTTAACTTGGATGAAGTCTAATTTACCAAATTTTTCTTTTATAGTTAGTGTTTTCTGGGTCTGCTCTTAAAATAATCTTTGCCAACATCAAGAGCACAAAGATATTATATTTTATTACCTTATGTTGTTGTTGTAGTTGTTAGGTGCCATCAAGTCAATTCAGACTCATAACGACTCTATGTACATCAGAGCTAAACACTGCCTGGTCCTGTGCTATCCTCACAATCCTTGCTACTTTTGAGCCTATTGCTGTAGCCATTGTGTCACTCCATGTTGTTGAAGGATCTCCTCCTTTTCACTGACCCTCTACTTTACCAAGCATGATGTGCTTCTCCAGGGACTGGTCCCTCCTGATAACATGTCCAAAGTACAGGAGATGAAGTCTCGCCATCCTCGCTTCTACAGAGCATTCTGGCTGTACTTCTTCCAAGACAGATTTGTTCATTCTTCTGGCAGTCCATGGTATAGTCAGTATTTTTCGCCAACACCATAATTCAAATACTTCAGTTCTTCTATATGAACTGTCCAGCTTTCGCATGTAGATGAAGCAACTGAAAACACCATGGCTTGGGTCAGGCACACCTTAGTCCTTAAAGTGGTATCTTTGCTTTTTAACACTTTAAAGAAGTCTATTGCAGCAGATTTGCCCAGTGCAATATGTCATTTCATTTCTTGACTGCTGCTTCCATGGGTGTTGACTGTGGATCCAAGTAAAATAAAATCCTTCAAAACGTCAATATTTTCTCCATTGATCATGATGTTGCTTATTGGTCCACTTGTGAGGATTTTTGTTTTCTTTATGTTGAGGCATAATCCATACTGAAGGCTGTGGTCTATGATCTTCATGAATAAGTGTTTCAAGTCCTCTGCTTTCAGCAAGCAAGGTTGCATCATCTGAATATTGCAGGTTGTTGATGAGTCTTCCTCCAAACCTGATGCCACATTCTTCCT